GGGACGGGGACGGAGAGAGAGAGAGAGAGAGAGAGAAAGAGAAAGAGGAGAATATTGCGAGCTGTGCCACTGTGAACATCGGGCGAAGGGGAAGCAGGAAGGGGAGTGCAGGCAGGGGGCAGACGCCCCAAGGTGTCCACGAGCAGCCGAGCAAGGGAGTAAAGCGAACTGCAAAGCAAGCAGGCAGGCAAGCAGGCAGGCAAGAAGTCCGCACGAGTGGCTAGGGTGTCGTACAGGGGCTACACGCGCGGTAGTGGGGGTGGGCGCGTGCAGCCGGCCTGCAGCTGCCTTTGCATGTCGCCCCTTTTCCCCCCCTCGCCCCGATCCGCTGCCGTTCCCTCCTGCCCGTGCGGTCCCCCTTGCGCGTCCCGCCGATCGTCGAATCTGCCACCGGTGCAGCCGCTACCTCACCACCCCTCTGATTCGGGCGCAACCCCTCCCGGCGGCCGGGCGGCGGGGTGGAGGGGGGAGGGGGAAACCGGCGGGCACCACAATTATAAGTAGGGGTGCCGCCGGCCTTGCTACCTCCAGTCGAGGGTTGCACTCCGTGACGAGTACGCGCGTACGGCGACCACTCATCGCGACCACCCTGTATCACACGATCAACGCGGGGTGCACGCGTGCGCAACGCATCGTGCCATTGCGCGGGAGCAAGTATTCCGAGGGAGGTAGTTAGCAAGTGGGAGAAGAAACATTGACACACCGTGGATCTCTCTCTCTCCGGCGGTACAGCACGAGGAGAGGGCTAACCGGGATTGAGCAAGAGAGATCGCCATCTGTCGTACAGTCCACGCCGGTATAGTGCCTCAGCGGTTGTTGTGGATACCGCGATGTGGCGTTAGTCGACCGGTAGTGATAAATCTCTACTTCTCGTATATTTTGAATAGAAAAGAAGAAAAGTGACAATATAAATCGAACGGAACAAAGACGCTCGGTGTCTCGGGCACAATACCAAATTTCACGGACAAGAGTGAAGTAAGCAGCGGGAAGAGACGGAGAAAGGGGACGATTTGCGGTGGCGAACCGGCGTGTGACTTTTGCGCGTGTGTCCACGCGTATGCCACCGCATGGTGCCAGCTTTCCCGGACTTTTGGTGCACTTTCACGAATCGCATCGCGCCGATTCGCCGCGAAGAGCCAGACGCATCTCGGCCGCGGCTACGAAACGGCGGACTCTCGTCGGCAGTGTGCCGTCTCGTGTGTGAATTACATCGCTCTTTTCGTGCCCCCCACCCGGCCCTTCCTCCCCCCCCCCACCTTATTTC